TACTTGCTATATATAGCAAGTAACTGAGATTCTAGAAGGCAGATTCAAAATGTCTTCCCATGCTTCTGAATCAATTGTGCTTTTCAGAGTTATATTCCAGGTTGATATTAAATTATCCATATTATCTTTCCTTAGGTCTTGTAATTCGGCATAGAATCTTGACACTGATTTCCCACGTTTATGACAATCAAGAATAGTTTTTTTAAGTAAATAATAATCCTGTGGGAACTCAAGTAAGCCCAAATTTGCTTTAACATAATGCCTTAGCTGAAGTTATTTATAAAAGTCACTGGAAACAATGTCATACTGTGTTATTAAGTCCTCAAATGTCTTGAATTTTTCCATTAATCCATAGATCGTGGTAATGCCAGCAAGACCTAAGATCAGGGCCAGCGCCCTCTACTGTGTGTTGTTCAGCAGTAGCCATTTGCCACGTCATGCTGTCGAATTTCTCTGAGAGTTTGGAAACTGGTTTAAGAATTATAGCTACTTTTCTGTCCAGTATTTCTTCAATATTCTTGGTAACGCTCTACTATGGTGTCTTCTATTAGAGTGTTAGCTTCTTCCATGTCACTCAGAATGCACCCCTGCTCCATATCTTCAGCCACAGTGTCTTGTTCATTTTGGCTAGCTACAGGTGTACCAGCATCAGCCCCACCTTTCCGGCCTCCTTTCTTACCTTTGCTTGATGCAGCAGGTACAACAAAATTATTTAGAGACATGTCGAAGCTTACAACAACTACTGTTTCAGCTCACGTGATGGGTTGTTTTAAAAAATAGATTTACTTCGACCAAGAGAGGAGACGGGAAAAAAAGACTACTCTGCAGCATGCATCACGTGACACCCCATTTTAAAAAGATATATTTTTTTATTTTATTTCATATCAGCTGCCAGGATAATATTTAGTTGTTTAGTTATTTTGATATTTAGTTATTTTCATATCCTTTGTGTTTTTTTGTTTTCTTTTACAACTTTATCTTTTGATGACTTGACAGCACCATATTGTCCCACACAAATGTACCCTTTACCCTGAACATTTTTATGCAAATAAATTACAAAAGAAACTAAACTGTACTTTGGATGGCCATATCATAGATGTTTGCTCAAAGATTCCACTATTGAAGAAGTGATATTTATTGAAAATAAGCCATCAGGACAGAGATTCATCCTGCTATCCATCCATCTTCTTTACACGCTGGATCCCAAGTGAGGTCGCGAAGGGTGCTGGTGCCTATCTCCAGCTGTCAATGGGCAAGAGGCGGGGTATTCATCCTGCTACTGTACCTTAATTATATCTTACTTTGCTCATAATCTGCCATGTGAATCAGACTGCAGGAGGTACAGCTTATGCTCTGAAGAGTTTTCAGTCACCTGTAAGAAAGAAGTTATTTTAGTAAAGATATTTATTTTATATTTTAAAATACTTAACTATAAAAGCTAATATCAATTGAAAAACTGCAATCATAGGTGTTCAGTTTCACTTCTCTGCAAGGGCTGAAAGCTGAAAAAGTAAATAATTCACACTTTTTTTTTTCTAAAGCTGTCTTTGATGGACCAACAATAAATTTGAGGAAGAAGGAAGCATCACAGTCTTCAACCTTCCGTGATGATAACGGACCATACACTGCTGACCGAGCCTTTGATGGGGATCCCTCCACATGTTCTCACAGCGACAATCAGATAAACTCCTGGTGGAGAATTGACCTTCAGGGGGTTTACAACATTTCTTGTATCTCTATCTATAATATTGATCAGGCTGGCCGTGAGACTAACATAACAGGTGCTAAGATCTACATCGGAAACTCTCTGCAGAACAACGGCACAAACAACAAACTGTAAGAACCTCATGTTTTATTTAATTGATTTAGTTCCATCTTCTTTAAGTTTCTGCATGTGTATCATCCAACAGTCATTCCTCAAGATACACTTACAAAACTTTAATCTACCTTTTGGTTGTATGTGTAAGAATTCTAGAAATAACATGGGAGAAAAAAGAGATACAGCTTGCGCACGAAATACTAATTCGTTCAGACAAAATATTAATTTGTTCCCAAGAAATACTAATTTGTGGCTACAAAAATATATATGGCGTGTGCAAAAAGTAGTAAAACATAATCTTCCTACACACAGCACACCGTCTCAAACAAACAAAACGTGATTGACAGAGATAGCCTGATCAAGTTTTATTTTAGGCTGGGGATGAGCTACAAAGACATTCTGAGAAGTTGGATGTTTCAAGGAATTCTCCTTAGTGAGAGGCATTTGTATAAAATTTTAAGAGCAGGTCGCTTCACTGGCGGACATACAACTTGGATGCTGGGATAGACTTTATTGTTGACCAATGGCAAACCTCTGGAAAGGAGCACTGTCACCGGTGAATGTATGCTAAGTGCGTACAACATGGTATTCGTGTCAGAAAAGAAGAGATGGAAACCTCAACATTGAAGTGTATAGGAAATCCCCGGACACAGACCAGTATCTTCTTTTGACTCTCACCACCCACTGGAACACAAACTTTTTGACATCACAACCTTACAACACCGGGCCGAGCATGTCCCTACAAAAACAGAGGGGAAGCACAAAGAGTAGAGTTTCTTAGAAACTCAGAAGGATTTTCTAGAAACACAAAATCCCAATACATTTCAAACCAAACAAGACCCCCAGACAGAGGCCAGAGCACCCTAAAGACAAAAGCCCCAGACCTAAGATGAGTGGAGTGGTTTATAAAGTTCAATGCTGTGAGGAATGCTCTGATCTTTATATTGGAAAAAATCAAACAACCTCTCCAAAGATGCATGGCTCAACACAGAAGAGCTACCTGCGGTACATTTAAACCTTATGGACAAGGGACACTCGTTTGATGTCCAGAATGTTCACATTTCAGGTTTCGGCTCTAAACCTACAATGCAGAGATAGAGTTTATTCGTTCCCACTATAATTTCGACCCCCCACCCCCATGAAGGGGACGATTATCTCGCATGGGCAGCCAAGACAACAACTGCCCCTAACAACCCCGCTTTCAGAGCCATAGCTCAGTATTGCAGGCAAACAAAAAACCCAAAACGACTCCGCATTCCACAGGGGTGGACTTGGAATCCGAGTCCAGTGGATTGTTTTTAACTTTTTTGGAGTGTTAGAAAAGAGGATGTCAGGATACACATCTTCCATACCTATTATATAACTCACTTTTTAGCGTTGTAAATGGGTTCGGCTTTATTATGGGAAATACAATACTTTTTCTGACAGAAATGTTTACATTTATTCCACTTATTGTGATGGAAAGCTCAGTGTTTACACCTTGCACATTTCTCTCTCTGGTTCGTTTCCTGAGAAGAGATCACCTGGGACAAACTCTTAGAATAAATCTTCAGAATGTTTATGTCTAAAATAACAATGAGACACGACAACAGATTTGGATAGAAATTGTAATTTTACTCAGATCAGAAAAACTCCTAGATGTCATTTGATACCTCCTGATGAAGAAACAAAAACATTGAACATTTAGTTATATGCTTGTGATAGATATATTGATATATAGTGAAATATTGTGCTATTTATTCACAGTGTTTGCATATAACAATGTAATAAAGGTACAAGAGCATTCTGTTCCTAGAATCCAGTTCTGTTATTGACTCCCAGTATCTCTCAAAAAAGCTTTCAGTTACTGGGCTTCATAACTGTGGATCCATATCTTTCTATGGGTCAGATCTGGCCCATTTTAAAGCAATGCAGTCACCCCCTCTGTTGCTCCCCCAGATGTTTCTCAAGGATGTAATTCCCTGTTACTCAATTATCTCTGATTAGGCCTACATGAAGATGGAATGGTGCTGGGATTTTATGGGCTATTTACCTGAATGATTGTCAGGAAACAGAAGTGCAACAAAACTTTGTCGATGAAATCCCCAGAGAAGCAACCTTCATCCTTTAATTCTCCATAGATTACATTGAATGTCTCTAACTGCCACATTCTCAGTGCCCATGTCAGTCCGTACAAGCCTGGGGCGGCCCCCACAAAACTCCAATGCCTCCACGAAGTGCCTACTAATGACTTTTGGGTCGCTATTAGTAAGGGAAGCCTGCAGCCAATTGACTTTTTGTTAGAACCTGCCGATGAACCATGAAGCCATGGCATAATGCATATGCCATGGCTTCAGTTTGTCATGTGAGTCTATGTGCCACAAAAACGTAGGTCCCTGAGCAAAATATTGCTTCCTTCTGAGACGTCTGGCTTGGCGAACTTGAGAACCGACAGGGTCAAGCAGAGAGAGGAGGATCCTGACATCCTCTTTTCTGACACCAATACCATGTTGTACGCATGGCATACATCCACCAGTAACCATGGTCCTTTCCAGAGCCTTACTGTTGGTCAACAATAAAGTCTATCCCAGCATCCAAGTTGTACGTCAGCTGGTGAAGCAACCTGGCTCTTACAATTCTATAAAAACGCCTCTCATTAAGGACATTCCTTGTTCTCAGAATGTCTTTGTAGCTCATCCGCAGCCTAAAATAAAACTCAATCAGGCTATCCTTGCTCCTTTAAGAAGATGTGCTGTGTGTAGGAAGATTATGTTTTAATTTTTTTTTTTACACATGTTACATATATATATTGTGGCCACAAATTAGTATTTTTTTGGGAAACAAATTAGTATTTTGTGGGAACACGTTTATATTTTGTGGTAACTAATTAGTATTTACTAGGAACACATTCATATTTAGTGATAACGAATTATCAGTTCGTGCAAACAAATTAGTATTTAGTGCACATGCTGTATCTCTTTTTTCCTCCCATGTCAGTTATGGGGCTCTGTACAATTTTTATTAAATTCTCACTAAATTGTTCATGATTGGGTTTCATGTCAGATGCTACAAATAGCCTAGTCCTTCTGTAAATCATGCGGGTCTGTGATGTTTTCTGTGAATTTTCCAGCTTTCTGCTCCATCAGTATCTTCAGGGCAGCTGCATTATTTTGACTGAATATGAATATATTAATTGTTAACAATTTCTATCTGATTATAATTAATATTTTTTATGTCCAATCATTACATTGTTTGCTTTTCTTCTCTTTATCCAGGGTTCAAAACATCTCCAACTTTCAAACAAACAAGTACAATGTCTATAAGCTTCAGTCATCAGTTTTGGGGCGCTATGTCACTGTGATCATACCCACAAAACCACATATGATTATTTGTGACATACACATCACTGGCATACAGCTTGGTATGTGGTCTGTGATCATAAGCTCCCACTATAGAAAGGCTCATAATTAGTAATCATTTCAGTTTTCAATGTAAATATCAGGCTTTTAAAAGCAGACATATTGTATTACATTAACATTACATTGCCTGGCGTCATACTCCCAAATGTGGCAGATGAGTGTTAGAAGAATATGAAGAACACAATCTCCTAAAAAATAATGTCGGGCATTTGATGGCAAAATATGAATTGTCATTAAATAAAGGTTAATTTAAAAGTAACATAAATATGATCACATTTAAATAACTTTAGTGTAGAGCTTAAAACGTTATACGTGTTACTTTCCTTCTCCATTCAGCCATTTATGCTTTGTTGCTGTGATTACAGATCGTTTTGTAATATAAAATGGTTTTTGAATTGCAGGGTTTTACTGTGAAATAAGAAATGCCATAAAATATGAGTTTTTAAAGGTATTAATTGGGATATTACAGGGAAACTTAACTAAAACAAGTTATTGTAAAATAATGCTGGTAATTATTGTAGAAAGTTGATCATTTCTAACCGTGTGACCCTTTTAAACATTTAAACTAATTTGTCTTTGTCTTTCTGTTAAAGCATCACCTTTTAAACTAATTAAGAAAAATAAGACCTGGGAAGAGGCCCTGTACTACTGCAGAGATAACCACAGAGATCTGGCCTCCATCCTGGATCAACAGATGCAGGCCTTTGCTGAGCTGGAGGCTGAGAAGGCCAACAGTCCCTTCGTATGGCTCGGCCTTCACTATGCTTGCACTTTGGACCTTTGGTTCTGGGTTGATGATAATGTTGTGCGTTTCAAACGCTGGGCTAACATCCCCCCAGAGGAGGACTGTGACATGAGTGGAGCCATGAAGACACAGGGAGACCATCTGTGGTTCAGCAAGTCTGATTATGAGGAGTTTAATTTTATCTGTTTGCTTTAGGAAGATTTGAGACTTCTACATGATTGTAATGTTAATATTCCTGTATTATTGCCTAATCTTTGATTTTAGTAAGATTTAGAAGATTTTCTCTAAAGTGTTGCAATAACCACTTAGAGAGTTTTTTATTCTAGCTTCCACTTATGTATATCATTGTAGTATCTGAATTCTGGATTCTGAAAAGCTCGAAATTTGGAAATGAAAGTTTCTGTAAGATTTTACAAGGTGTAACATTTTATCTCATATCAGTTAATTAAATGCTGTGTGAAGTAAAAAGGAGAATCTTTTACTGAGTTTATTTAATTACAAAATGCCCAGAATTTCTTTTAAAACGACCAAATGTAGTCTTTACTACAGTCTCATATAGGTGGGACCTTTTTCTTGTTCTAAAAATGTCCTGCATTGATCTTCACAAGTCTATTATTTTGCACAAAGAGCTAAATTGTGAACGACAAGCTTAAGGAACAGCCTCTGTGTTTGGGCCTGTGATGGTACCATGGATTCAAACACCTAAATCTGGCCAACAGCCTCTGTGCTTCAGGCAGTGCCTTGCCTCCATCCATCCATTTTCTAATGCTTATTCCATCAGGGTCACAGTGGGGCCGGCACGTATCTCCGGGACACTATGGGCGAGAGGTGGGGTACACCCTGGATATGTCACCCTCTGTCTCAGGGCAACACAGAGACAAAAAAAAGACATACAGCCATGCATACATACATACACACACACATCCCTAACAACAAGAGAAGCCAGTCCACCTAACAGTCCTGTTTTTGGACAGTAGAAGGAAGTTGGAGTACCTGGAGAGAACTCTTACATTCTCCATGCAGAAAGATCCTGGAATTGACCCAGAACCTTCCTGCTGCAGGGCAACATTGTTAGAAACTGTTCCACCTAGCAGCCCGTGTCTTGTCTCTTTTAAAGCATTATACTATATGCCTACAAGATAGAAAACGAAGGACCAAGAGGTAAAAACATTAGTCTTTTCCTGTTGAATCCCCGCTCATTTATTTAGCTGCAGTAGAAAAGTCCACCGTGAGCTTTTTTACTCACCAATGCTGCTCTTAGAGTTCTTTCACTTAAAGCAGACAATTAGTAAACGCCCTATGACAAGAGGACACTGTGCAGCGATCTGTGCACCGTGGGATACTGCAGCTCTTTCTTAGGTGAGGCAGGATATGGANGCTTAAAACTTTTAAAATCAGGATAAGTTCATCATCTTGACACACGCTTGCTGTTTCGTAGTATCAGTAGATTACTGTAATTTATGGTATTGCATATTCAGTATGATGTCCATGAAATCATGTAATATACACATATGCAAATCCATCACAATAAAATGTATGCGTTAATGGAGCATAATAATACTGTACTTCGATATTAACAATGTGCCAAAAGTGCTAAATTGATGACATGTACATGTAAATACATGTATTGATTACATTGTTATGGTAATTACATTTTACATATAATGCCAAGATTTAACATCAAGACTGAATTACAAGTACATGTCTGTTAATGCTATAGTATTTTTCCATTTGCAAATTATGCTGTGTCTGTGCATTAGCCTTTAAATCTGACAGATTTAAAATGGAGCTAAATTAATGAACCAGTTTAATAACTCCACAGAGCATCCTAAAACTGGCAAAATCAGAAAAATTTGCAAAGAGACAACATCAAATTCATATCTTGCTTTTTACTCAAAGTTACAAGCACTTGATCATTTGCATATACATGCAATGATGTATTCACACACGTAAACAAACACATACACTATCCAGTGCATTCAGCCCCTGTGAGGTAAACATATAACATGGTGAGGAAGGGGTGCGTGTGGGATACAGAGGCAAGCTGAGCTACAACATCGTTAACAAAAAAGAAAGATGCAGCTCTTTGTGTCTACAATAATACAATAAACCTGTAGTTGTCTTAATTTTTCCTCTCTGGGACCCAGTTTCAAAAATAATGGTTTATGCTCACCTAAAATCTCGACTTTGTTTGGATACACAGCTTTAACAAAGAAATATTGTTGCACCTGATGTTGTCTTAATGTGGATAGTGCCTTAGTCTCTGTATGTCATTAGATCATTTTATTACATTTTATTAAATATAGACTTTTAGAACACAAACATTATTAAAAATCTATTTATTGTTTTTCTTGGGTTATAAAAATTCCTAAAGAAATAGAAAATACTTATAAACAACACTGATAAATTACAGTTCATTATGTAATACAAGTAATTATCTTATATCTCTACTACTAAAACTACATTTGTGTCATCTTTGCTCATTAAAAACTAAGATAGAAATAGAAACAATACTGCCCTTTTTTTGTTTTTCTTAGGAACAGAAATAAACATGAGTTTGAAACATTTTTAGCATGATCTTAAACCCTCTGCCGTTTGTCAGCATTGATGCAAACATTTATTCTCTGAACATTAAGGTTTAAGCTGCGGCCCATCAGTGTCTAACACTCCTGTCAGTACAGCCCTGTTCCACCAGCGCTCGCTGAAGCTCTGCAAACATGCAGAGGTCAGGCTCTCTCCATCCTGGTAGTCCTCTCTCATTTTCTCTGGGATCAGATCCTCTGACATCACCTGGATCATCAATGAAAACAGAAGGTGTTACTGTCTTTAAAACACCTTATCTAGTTCTCTTTAGATTGTGGGAATAAAGCCAGAACGTGTCATGCTTTGTTCCCACCTCAGTGAGAGTCTGCAGTGTCGCTTCTTTAGGATTTAGTCGCTGCAGTTCCTCTGCTGTAATCTGTAGAGCCTTCTCACTGCGCTGCAACACAAAGGAGGACTGCTGCTGGCGGAGGATTCGCAACAGGAGTCTGGAACAGAAATAGTTTACAGGACATTTAAAAAAAGAGGAAGAAAGATACATTGTTTAAAGAAACTGAACTGTGTGATGTAGCCCATGATACAGCATTATTTTATTTGAATAATTTACCGTGTTCTGATGAAACAGATGCAAGCTCTGAGCCAGACTCTATCCTCAGAGAGTTCTGCTGCCCCCTCCTGGTCCTCCTCAGAATCACCATTCACAGCCTCTGATGTGTGCTCTGACACAGCAAGATGTTTCATTTGTATTTTGAACTAAATTGACACAAGCGGAAAACATTGTTTTACCTAAGAAATTAAAGTACATATACCTTTTTTGGGATTTCTATCCAGCAGTTGTAAACACGTCTGTCCTAGGCTAAACCAGTGCCAGGGGTTAAAGGGCAGCAGGCTGCAAAGCTGTTGCAGACAGGACATTTGAGGCCCCACAGAGCCATGGTTCTGGTAGATGCTGACCTTTAGGATAAGTTCAGATTCAGAGTTGGCATTATATCTGGAGATAAAACTTTGGATTAGGAACACACTTTTATTTAATACATACTTTAAGCAGCAGGAGACTGGTGAGGTGACAGGTGTTTGAGGCTTCTTTGCTCTGCAGGAATTAAACACACAGTGAAGATATCAATAAACAGGGGAAAAAATGGTAATTTAACCTCTCTTATTCTTATTGTGTGTCATAAGATTTTTTAATGTAATCAAACTATTTTAAAGAGGTTTCCTGAACATTGCATGAATAGCATTGATGGCAGGGATTTTCAGAAAAAGCCTGCAGGAAAAGGATTACCAGTAATTCGGCCAACTCCAGTGCCTGTTCCGTTCGGCCCAGCCTGGTGCAGCATCGAGCCATTCCCTCCAGAACATCTCGCCTGATGGTTAGGTTGTTGTCTGCGATCAACTGCAGGCAGCTGCTGTATGCGTCCAAGGCTCTCTGAATAAGGCAGAAATAAAGTCTGTTATCATTTAGCTTTAAACTTAATCAGCTACCAGTTGTTTCATTAATTTTAATGCAACGCAAACATAAAAGATGTGAAACATCATTTGATATATTCAGACTTTATAAATTAGAACTGAAAGGGTTAAAAGATTACAAATCAGTTTGGCTTGGTTTCATAAAAGCCTTCAGTGTGTGTTGCCCTAAGGCGTTTCTGGGGAAATATAAAACTATGCACATGTATATAAATGGTTATTAGGAATTTTATGAAAACATTTCTTCTCTTCAAAAAAGCTCTGCCTGTTTGTTCATCTGAAAAACATTCAAATTAAGAACTAAAAAGAGTTTTTTGAACAGGGATGCAATCAAGGCCCTCCACATTTTTCTGTTCATTTTTCACTCTAATTAGTTGCTGGAGAATCAAGGATTTACCGAGTGAAAGAAAACTAAACAAATCGAGTTACCTGATAGTTTCCTTGTCTAAAAGCCAGGTCACCTCTGAACTTAAATACTTTCTGCTTCTCCAAAGTATCGTCCGTGTCCAGAGCGGTACACTCACAAAACCACTGCAGCATGAAACAAGGGAAGAAAAACATTACCTGTAAAATTCATGTTTTACATCTAAAACCTTAAAAATAATTAGAAAAATGTTTTAATTTGATGATTTCTTAAGTATACATGTAGTTTTAATGAGTGACTTCAAATAAACTGTTAAGTCATGGCCCCCAGACACACATAAATATATCAATGAGTTTGTATCATCTCTAACCACACTGCTTTAAATCCAGTCCCTTTATACAGCTCTAAATAGAATTTTGTTTTTCTTGACAAAAAAAGAAATGTTACTTGTAGAAATAAGTTCCTGAATAGTAGATATGTGGCAACTTATTGGGAACAGAAAGAAGAGGGGAATATTGCTACCAAAATCTTCTATGTGGGAAACATAGATGAGCTCTGTAGAATTTAAACAGAGACAAATGCACATATTCTAGAGCGTCAAGTTTATCAGGAAAGACAATGTTTAGGTTTACAGCAGCTTCAGATTTCTGTGTAGATTCAATGTTTTTTTGTAGTGACAAATCAAGAAACTTGTTATCTTAAAGGACTTTACAGAGTCAATTAAATAAAATCATAAAGACAGACTCCTTTAAAATGAGCATTCAAACAGTGACAGTGGAGAGAAAAATCCCCCTTTAACAGGAAGAACCAGGCTCAGGCTTGGTTTAATCTTGACAGATCCAGGAGGTCCACACAGCAATATTCAATCATTTTAGTGCCGAAGCCACTCTGTGCAGCTTGGAAAATCTATAACTATGCAGACAGCTTGGTATAGAAAAACATGGTGATCAAACTAGGGCTGAAACTATTAATCGGGATAAATCGATTATTTAAATAATCGTTAACTAATTTAGTAATCAATTAATTGTTACCAGGAGGGCAGAGACTCTAAAACATGTCTTTAGCTGAAAGAGCAACCCACTTAGACAATTAACTATACCACAATTATAAAAAAAAAAAAGAAAAGTTAAAATTTTGCATTCAAGATAAAATAAATAAATAAATAAAATAAAAACATTTTCATCTGTCAATATACTCTATCCAGAACCCATCAAGTTGAAAAGTTTTAGTTTCAACTGGTTTAATTTCATAAAAATCTTCTTTAGGGACCTTTTAAATTCTGATTATTAACCAACTAATCAAAAAATAATCGCCAGATTAATCCATTTGCAAAATAATGGTTAATTGCAGCCCTAGATCAAACAACAGCTCCTATAGGTGATGGTTTGCAAACCTGAACATCTAGAGACATCCTAAAAAACTTCAAACACAACTTTCAGTGAGACTCTTCTGCCAGGACTGACATGCAAACAAAAGGAATACAGAAGTACTGATCAAGGAAGACTTTCTAAAAAGCTTGATAACAAAATATCAATATATATTGCAAAAAGATACCTGATCAATATCAACAGAAAACTGAGATAAATCTGATAGAATGATCTATAATTTGCCACTGCAGTGACTACAAGCAAAGGGGCATAAAGCAGAGTGCTTTTAAATCTTTCTATAGAGTGCCCATTTACTGGGTCTCCAACCTGCTGACCTCAGACAACATTTCTCTGTTTTTAAAAGATCATCCTGTAAATCCTCGATCTCAAATATGAGGCTTTTCTGTAACTTGGGTTTGGTAATAAATTATACACTGAAACCTAAAATTTATATTCCAAACTAACCTCATTAGCTTTGTTTTCTGCATACCTTTTACTTAAAAAAAAAAAACATCTTTTTATTGTGTCATTGAAATAAGGTAAACTACTATAAGCTAAAAAAAACCCTAAAACAGGTCAAAGAAAGTGTGTAAAATAGTGATAAATGCACTTTATATAAACAGAAACATTGTTGTCACCAAAATTAAGCTTAAATTATTTTAGCTGCAATGTTCCATAAATAATAAATATTTCAAGTGTCATCTTCCCCTCTTTTAAACTCTTCAAAGGTCAAAATGTAATGCTTTTCGTCTGAATTTTAGACAGGCAAAAAACTGCAATACCTATATGAAAAATATTCCAATGAGCATAAATTATTGAAGCAATGTTAGAGACTTTCTAAAAAAAAAAATAGCGTCAGGATCTTTATGAGCAATATTTCTACCAAGAGGTTTAAATTAATCCAAACTAGGTCGTTATATCCCCGCTTTATAGGAACATTTCAAATATGGACAATCAATTTACAGAAACATACATCCTCCTGCCTGCAAACTCACCTCTGGTTCGCAGAATTTGGCGTTATAAAACGACAGAGAGCGACACACCCGCTCTCTGGCCTCCGAGAACACAGAGTCATCAAATGTGCTGCCGAGAATCTCCATCAGGGAACGTCAGATCTTCTATTACAAAGAAAAATTTGATCACAACACTACACAAGTTTAGCCTATTTGTTTTCGTAACAGCCATTCGGTCCGTCTAGAAGAGCGTACCGACGGAACACAAGTTAAACTATGGTTCCTGGTAGAAACGTTCCCAGAAACGATAAAACGGGAAATTATTTATTTATTGTTATTTTTATTACAATTTTTTATTATTATTATTTTATTTTATGAGATCTATTGGCAAATATTAATGAATATCAGCAATAACATAGAAAACATTTAACTATATGGAACATTAAAGGATAAATTAAAGCAGATCCAAGAAAATAGTAAAGACAAAATAAAAACATGTGAATAAAATCAAATAGAGAAAAAAAAGGATTTAGGGATTGTCTGTTTTCCTTTCCATCAGTTTCATGGCTTTTAAGTAAAAAATATCACTTAATGTTAAAGGTTTTTGTTTGAGTTTTCAATGATACATGAAATCCCTAATGCTAATTGACTCTAAAAAAGAGCACCACATCCATAGATATGAGATTTTTTAAAGAGTAATGTGCAATCTGTTTTTTATTTATGTTTTGTTATTNAAAGAGTAATGTGCAATCTGTTTTTTATTTATGTTTTGTTATTAATTTTGCTGCGTTCAGACCGGCAGCAGTGTCTGTGACGAGTGCGGTTGATTCACATTGACCAAGTGGGGATGGGCGGTAAAGCTTCCAGTGACGATTCCCACTTGTTAAGGGCGTTCACGGCAATAAATAATTCAACCATCATAAATCTTCCAAAACTCTATTTAAAAACAAATTTTCAATGCTTCTTTTGGTGAATATTATCACTAATTCTACCAGCCACTTCAGGTTATTCACCCTTTCTTTAGATTTACCCTTCCAGAAATGGTGAAGCAAATGGAAACTGACAAATATATGATCATAGTTGACTTAATAATGAGTGATTATGATTATTTAAATTCATATTCTGATCGCATTATATTCAGCAGTTATTTTCAAATACAAAATAAATAATAATAATAAGATTAAATTAACAACCACCAAATTACTTTTGTTGGGCTTGAGAACATTATAAAGGAGCTCCAGCGCATGTAAAATAGAACTAGTGATGCCAAAAAGATTATCAGTTGATTCAATGTCTTTTTTATGACAGAATGCGTTATGACTGATACCAAATCCCAGCCTTAAAACAATCTGTAGGTTAGTTACATGGTTCTAATAAGTTTGACAGGATTTCTTTTGTTTAGGACTAATAGGATGATTTTTTTTTTATCTCTTAATGCCTGATTTAAAAAGAAATGCTTGAGTTTAAATATATTTATTAGATATGAAGAGAGAGATCATGCAGGTTATATATAACGGGACAAAGATTCAATTTCAGGTGTGTATATTTTTCTAAATACTGTAAGGCCTCAATGTAGCCACATATGAAGCTTGGATTTTATATTTGCAACTTGATTTTGTCAGTTAATATATTATGGGCAAAATTATGCATATGTTATATTCAATGGACAGCAATTAAATGTTGTGATTTTATGTTCTTTTCAATTCCCAGCGAGCTGGGAGTTTATATTCTGATACTTTAAGATCTTTATTGCCTTCCCCTGTAGGGGCGGTAAAATATCTTAATTAATCAGATATTATTTTGGCTGTTATATACTGTTTAGGACACACAGCCCTACTAGATGTGTGTTAGAACTATAGATGAAAGATTGATTCAAGCACTAATCATGGTCAAACAGTTAATTCTGCACATAGATGAATAAATTCACCACAACTTCTGTTCAAAATATAAGAGTTTATTAACAAAAATTATTTAACTCCAAGTCAAACATTTTTCAGTTTAATACTCTTAACTAAGACTACTGAAACTCAACTAAACTAAGCTGCTACGTACAAAGAGGAACGGGAACACGGTTGAAAACCAAATTACAGTTTAAGATGGATTCTGTGTTTGAAACCAAAGTTTATCTGGAAGAATTTTGGATATGATCAAATAAGCTTTTTACTAATTTAAAGAAATTGAAATGTTTTCAGACCAATTCACAATGCAAATCCATGCGGTGAATAAAACATTATTTGGCCAAATATTGTTTTATTAAATGATTTGCTTAATCAAGAACCAATACCCTTTAGTTAAATGATTCTTTAACCTCTTTGAAATAGCAAGAAGCGAAAAGACATCAGGATTCCACTAAATGACTCTTGGTCATACTTGGTAATGGAAATGTAATGAGCATTTGAGGAACACATGAACACTAATGTTATACCAGTGTGTAAACCCTTAGTGAAGTAAAGCTTGTCCAAGCTTCAGCAACAGCTCAACACATGTTACTATAGCATAGTGTAGCATGCATTCCATTCTGTTAGCATTGGCTTTAGTCATCATCAAAAGACATGTTGTTTGTTCTGTCCCTAATCATGCCAGACCTGCAAACCTTTTTCCATCTCCAGTTGGAAAGCTTGAGTCTCATCCAGCTGCAGCTCAGTAGTCAGGGCAGCAACCAGGGGTTCTTTGTCTCAGTCGTTCATCAAGGCAGGGTAGGCCTCCTCTCCAGTCTGGCTCTGTAAGTTCTGAGACTCAAGAGAAATGTGTTGCAAAAGGTCTGTTTTGCAGAGGTTTGTTTCTGAAAGGTTACCACAATGACCCATCCTTGATGATTCTGGAGGTCTGGGTCCCCTCTGGGCCTTGGTTCTCCACGACAGTGGAGATCCGGGCAGAAGCGGACCCCAGCTTCATGGGCAAGGGAGAGGAGGCAAAGAGCGCAGGAGGCAAAAAGAGAGAGAATCTTCTGTGTGCTCTGGGGTTTTGTCTGTCCTCACACAGAGGGGGGTGGTTGTTCACACCTCTGTGGGCTGCCATGTGACTTGCCCGTGGAGGCCTTGGCTGAAAAGGGGGGGTTTGCAGAGATTGGACAGCTGATTCCACATCATCATATCAAGATGAAATATGGACACTGGTTCCCAATGCCCAAAGACCATGATCATTGGCATATGGCACAACACATACGATTATCCATCCATCCATCCATATCCTGTCAACCCTCCATCTCCAGATGTCGCAGACAATTATATTTTCCAATATACAATTTAAAAGAAAAAGCATTTTTCTACCTATGAAGAAAAGCAGTTAGATTTAGTTTTATTACAAAGCACAGATGAAATTGAACTTTTCAGTATCAGACTTGCTGAACCATTTATGCTGTCCTTTGGTCTCCATGGCTCCACTTATGTCACAGTCTTCATAATCAATTGTACAACGATCAACCCAGAACCAGAACTGCTTGCTGCAGACGTAGCGAAGGCCGATCCATGCAAAGGGACTATTGGCCTTCTCAGCCTCCATTGCAGCAAAGAACTGAAGCTGCTCATCCAGTATAGTAGCTAGACCTCTGTGATTAGTCCTGCAGTAGGACAGAGAGTCCTCCCAGGTCTTGTTAATGTTGATCAGCTTAAAGGGAGATTCTTGAAGACAGAGAGACAGAAACAGGAAAAATGTTATACTTTTAGCCACCCTCTGCACACAGTCTTCACCACTAAGAGGAGCCTGATCATTGAGAGATTCCTCCTCCCCAAATACAGGACCAACAGACTGCAGAACTCCTTTGTTCCCCAATCCATCAAACTTTACAGCTTCTGACTTGGGGGAAGGAGGAGATGATAGGAAGAGGGACAAGGGTCAGCACCCCCTACTTGCACAAAACATTACCTATTGTAATTTAACTCATCTGCGATATTCTTTTCTCTCACTGTGCAATAACACATGCCAACTACTGTGTAGCCTGTGTACTTGTTTTTACCTATTTATAAGGTCAGTACATCTCTGCAGTACAAGTGCAATAACCAAAGTCAACTACTATGTAGTCTTCCCATAGCTCTCTACTGTGCACATGTTTTTATATCTAAGGGAAACATATTTCAGGACATTACAACTTTTTTCTTTCTTTTATGCCTTTATGGTACTAAATACAATCTTTGTATATTGTCTGTCATATTTTTTATCTTGAATGGCATTGTGATTTGATTCCTTGTACTCTATATAAGCTACTGCAACCAGAATTTCCCTGAAGGAGTAATCCNCAGCCTTGAAGTAACAAATGCATGGACTAGTTTCTAAGCATCACCCCTGGACAGAATATTTCAAATTTTTTGCAATATTCCTCAGATGAAAGAAGGAAATTCTAGAAACCTCTTGATATATATGGGTTTTATATTTTATGTTCTTTGACAACCATACAAGTTTTGTATCACAAATGAAACCCTCCTTTTACCTAAGCACTCTCATTATCTAAGGTTCTGTTTCCTTGAGAGCATTTTATAATTTGTTTTTGTACTCACGAGCTCTCGGTGCCATGCTCTGACCATGATGTAATAATTTTTTTGATTTCGGCTGTCCACGAGCCCTGGGTGGGTTCGGGGGGTGCCCGTTCCATATTTTGGTTTCTGTAATCTCCAGGCGTGAGAGGGAGCAATCACTTTTCCTGATTAGGTGAAAGACTTTCCTTTGAAGTTTGGCATAAATGACGGATGGCACTGGCAGAGTCTGCTAGGGTTGCGTAGGAACGCCTAGCTGCGTGGGTTGCTGCCCTGCCGGGGTCGACTGGCTCTCCGATCCTTTGTGTCATGGTAGGGGGGACAATATAATTTGTATTGAAACAATCTATACATGACTACCCTTTCTTACATCTTTGAAGTGGAGAGTGTATAAAAAAAGTTTTTTTTCTTTTTCACAACATCGGGTATAGCTCTAATTAGTTTATTAAATAGGGCTTATGTGCAGAAGATAAATTTTGCGCAAAAGTCTTGGTAAGGAAGCAAGTGTCTGTGGTCATTTACCAGGTGGGTTATGGACTAGAAATTTTTATTCATCAAATGTTGTAATAGGAGGGACTTTCTAATGCAGGTAACACATCTGTTATTCCACCCTGGGATAGGATAAGAAGTAAAAGTATGTGAGTTCATGAGGTTCAAGAATAATAAAACTTGCTTGTGAAATACCGTTTAGTTGGCAGTCTTTAACCTAAACAAATGCCATTTTAAGAACCAATTTCATTCCACCTGATTTTAGGAAATGCCTCATTTTTGCTTAGTATGAAAGATTTAGGCCAGTTAATAATACATACATTCAGATGTATAGCATTTTGACTGCCACCTTCATTATCTTGGACTATGTCAGAATTATTTTAGGTATTATAACTGTTTTTGTTTTGTTTTTTACAAATAAAAGGGAAGCTGCATTCATTAAGAGTTTAATATATATTTATTAGATATGAAGAGAGAGACCATGCAGGTTATATATAACAAGAAAAAGATTCAATTTCAGGTGTGTATGTTTTATATTTGCGATTCAGTTTTGTAAATTACCGTAATATATTATGGGGAAAAATTATGCATATGGTTATCCATCCATTTACTGTCAACCCTCTATCTCCAAATGTCACATACAATTATATGTTTTAAGATAGAATTTAAAAGAAAAAGCATTTTCTACCTATGAAGAGAAGCAGTTAGGTTTAGTTTTATTACAATGCACAGATGAAATTGAAAGTTTCATTATCAAACTTGCTGAACCATTTATGCTGTCCTTTGGTCTCCATGGCTCCACTTATGTCACAGTCTTCATAATCAATTGTACAGTTACCAGCCCAGACCCACAACTGATTGCTGTGGACGAGGCGAAGGCCGATCCATGCAAAGGGACTATTGGCCTTCTCAGCCTCCATTGCAGCAAAGAACTGAAGCTGCTCATCCAGTATAGTAGCTAGACCTCTGTGATTAGCCCTGCAGTAGGACCGAGAGTCTTCCCAGGTCTTGTTAATGTTGATCAGCTTAAAGGGAGATTCTGATACACAGAGAGACAGAAACAGGAAAAAATGTCATACTTTTAGCCACCCTCTGCACACAGTCTTCACCACTAAGAGGATCCTGATCATTGAGAGATTCCTCCTCCCCAAATGCAGGACCAACAGACTGTAGAACTCCAGAACTCCTTTGTTCCCCAATCCATCAAACTGTACAGCTCCTGACTTGGGGGAAGGAGGAGATGATAGGAAGAGGGACAAGGGTCAGCACCCCCTACTTGCACATCTTATGCAAAACATTACTCATTTGCAATATTCTGTTCTCTCACTGTGCAATAACACATGCCAACTACTGTGTAGCCTGTGTACTTGGTTTTACCTATTTATATGGCCAGTACATCTCTTCAGTACAAGTGCAATAACCCAAGTCAACTCCCATCTAGTCTTCCCATAGCTCTCTACTGTGCACATGTTTTTATATCTAAGGGAAACATATTTCAGGACATTACAACTTTTTTCTTTCTTTTATGCTTTTATGGTACTAGATACAATCTTTTTATATTGTCTGTCATATTTTTTTTATCTTGAATGGCATTTTGATTTGATTCCTTGTACTCTATATAAGCTACTGCAACCAGAATTTCCCTGAAGGAGTAATCCAAAGACATAAATAAAGTTGAGTCTAAGTCTAAGCCAAAAGGTTCAGCTCTGCCTCATTGACCATAACATTTCCAGACACTGCTGGAAGGCTCTGGCTTGTCTTTCTGGGTAGTATTGAATTCAAGCTAATTATTCAGGTTTCCTTTTTTGAGCAACACCTTTTTAGAATAAAATAAAAAAAAAAAATGCATGACTCCCTGTTTGGTAAACTGAACATCTCATCATTATATCAGTGAGATTATTGAAAATGGATTCAAACGGGTGCAGCTTACCAAAGGGAATTTCTTGAAATGTTTATGAAAGTGCAAGAATACATTTTAACTTGTGATGAAATATTCGTTTTAAAATCTATAATAAACCTAAAGTTTATTTTAACAGCATTTTACTTAAAAAAAAACAACAACAACAACAATAAAACAATAATAGACCATTAATAGCCCAAATCTAACATGTCTGTCAGCACCAACAATGGTTGAAAAAAAGATTCTGCCCTGTAATGGTGGAAATTACACAGAAAGTTACAAGATAAATGAAAAGTTTAGTCAAATTATTGCATGAAACTATTTAATAATTGCATCATGATGAAAATCTGTTTTCCTTACATAGACATTACATAATTATTCTAACTTGAAATAGATGCTGCAGCTGAAGTTGTTACACACAGAAATTACAACCATAGAAATTAAGATGAAAATATGTCATGTTTAAAGGAGATGTTTGATAAAGATATCAATGCAAACATTTAAGCTTCAAACCGACTGAGAATTAAATCAGACCTACCTATCTCTGTGCCGGTGATGTTCACCTCACAAAGAATCATATGTGACCTTTTTGGTGTGAAGAAAGTCACGTATCGCCCTGCCACTGATTCGGAAAATCTGAAGATATTTAGCTGATTTTTTTTGAAGTCTGTGATATTGTAAACCCTGAATAAGAGGAAAATCAAAACAGCTGAGCAGATAATGAATACACCACAAAACTATAACACTGCCGGATCATCCGGTTTAATTTTTATTTATTTTAAGGTCAAAAATATAATATAAATCCCATTAAGGCATCATGATGTTCTTACAGCCTGTTGTTGGTGCCATTGTTCTCTAGAGAGTTCCCAATGTAGATTTGAGCTCCTGATATATTGGTATTTAAACCGTTCGTATTATAGACAGAGATACAGGAAATGCTGTATATCCCCTGCAGGTCAATTCTCCACCAAGGGTTAGTCTGCAACTCGGTGTGAGAACATATGGAGCGATCCCCATCAAAGGCTCTGTTAGCAATGTATGGACTGCCAATTGCTAAATAATCGGAAGACTGAGATGCAGTCTTCCCGGTCAGATTTATGTTCTTTGTGTTGCAGAGATCTGAAGATGAAGAACAAAAAATAAAATATTAGCCTAGTTTAACGTATCTAACATTTTGGTTTATGTCAGTAGCAATTATCTATTTGTTCCACAAAGAATATTTGATCCTACCTGTTGTCTGCACGGCTACATTTTGGGTTGCTGTAAATAATGAAACAACACTAATATATGATTTCTTTTTTTTTTTTTTTCTAAAACAACAGTTTCAATTCTTTCAAACTAGATCCATTTGTTGTAAACCTGAACTCTTACTCCTCGTTGTGATTATTTAAACAATTGTGAGATAGACATCCAAACGAATGAAAAACAGCCACTTACTTATAACCCAGATGAACACCAAACTCCACAGCATCTTGAAAGGAAAGGACAAATAGGCAAGATCATTCACAATTTTCAACATTTTAACTAGTGTACAAAAAAACCTTCTCTGCCCCTACTTTATTGTACTTTATTGAGTACCAGTAAAACATGTAAGGTTGGAGAGAGAAATAAAGGAAGATAGGTTATATTGGTCTAAAAAAGATTTACACTACCGTTCAAAAGTTTGGGGTCACATTAAAATGTCCTTATTTTTGAAGGAAAAGCACTGTACATTTCAATGAAGATAACTTTAAACTATTTTTAACTTTGAATAAATACACTCTATACATTGCTAATGTGGTAAATGACTATTCTAGCTGCAAATGTCTGGTCAGACATTGGACAGAGGAAGACTGGAAAAAAGTGATGTGGATGGATGAATCCAAGTTTGAGGTGTTTGGATCACAAAGAAGAAGTTTGTGAGACGCAGAACAAATGAAAAGATGCTTGAAGAATGCCTGATGCCATCTGTTAAGCATGGTGGAGGTAATGTGATGGTCTGGGGTTGCTTTGGTGCTGGTAAGGTGGGAGATTTGTACAGGGTAAAAGGGATTCTGAATAAGGAAGGCTATCACTCCATTTTGCAACGCCATGCCATACCCAGTGGACGGAGCTTGATTGGAGCCAATTTCAATCTACAACAGGACAATGACGCTCAACACACCTCCAAATTGTGCAAGAACTATTTAGAGCAGAAGCAGGCAGCTGGTATTCTATCGGTAATGGATTGGCCAGTGCACTCACCAAATCTGAACCCCATTGAGCTGTTGTGGGAGCAGCTTGACCGTATGTTACGCAAGAAGTGCCCATCCAACCAATCCAACTTGTGGGAGCTGCTTCTGGAAGCGTGGGGTGCAATTTCTCCAGATTACCTCAACAAATTAACAGCTAGAATGCCAAAGGTCTGCAATGCTGTTATTGCTGCAAATGGAGGATTCTTTGACGAAAGCAAAGAATGATTAAAAAAAAAAAAATCTTATTTCAAATACAAATCATTATTTCTAAAATTGTCAATGTCTTGACTCTATTTTCTATTCATTTCACAGCATATGGTGGTGAATAAGTATGGCTCTTCAGGAAAACATAAAATTGTTTGGGTGACCCCAAACTCTTGAACGGTAGTGTATGTATGTATGTATGTATTTAATACATGCAATGTATTAAATAATAATGTAAGTACATGCAGGATATCAGAAAACTATATGAACATCTTTTTGTTTGTTTGTATAAAGTACAGGCAAGAATTTAAATCTACTACCCCGAGCCTGGAACAAAGAACCCATGAGCATATAAGGCTGTTGTAAGGTAAAATTATTGTTGCTAAAAACTTACTTAAAAAGTTGCAATATTAATGCTCAAAACTAAAAAATCTGCTCTTAACTTTCTGCAGTTCACATATAACAGTCTCCCTCACCTTAACAGTTGGTCCTCGCTCCACTCTGATGTTCCTTTCAGTGAATTCTGCTTCCTCCGCTGCAGCTTACATAGAAATGCATTTGTTTCACGCCCTAATTCAAATATACAGCTCTTACCACAGAGTTTCATTCAAAATTCAGACCTTTGCATGTTTCTTTTGAATTTCACAAAAATAACAAAATAATTATCATAGCGTGTCTCATAAGCAATCTGGACAAAGGAGATGCACCAGGCAAGGGTCAAGGGACAGAGCAGGTAGAGCAACGCAGAGAAGGGGTTGTGAATGGAGCGGAGTATAAAGGTGTTACATATTTGCTTTAGATGTGCATTTTGTCTTCCAACATGCACTTCATTTTTTCTGGTACACAGCACATGGACAGAGCCATTGCATGGACTGTGTGAACTCTGCAATCGCACAGGGCTTCGGTATACAAGGGGTCCTCATGCCTGCTATGAAAATAAAATGTGACAAATGCATTTTTTATATATATAATTTTGTCCCTTTCTGACACAAAAAATGTAAAAGAAATTAAACAAATTAAGCAGTTTTTTTTTTTTATGTTGCTATGTCATTATGCCTTCAGCACAGTCACTCCAAACGTCAATTTTGCACCTGGAGTGAATGATTTCCATAAAATTCCAATGTAGATAGCTTGTCTGGAGCGCTTTGAAGTGGAGTGAGGTGAAGGTGGTGATTAGCAAGGTGACTGCCTTTTTTGCTGATGAAGATTCTCAGTCATCCAGGTCAGAGTCATTCCGTAAAAGTTTAAAAAAAACAATCCACTTGACTTGGTTTCCAAGGTTTGAAGACGTTTCGCTTCCCCTCCACGAAGCTTTCTTAATTCAATATCTGAATCCGCAGTGAGTTTGAGTCTTTATATAGACAAGGCCTTGTATTGCTTGGAAACATGTAAACTGAAACCGACGAGTGGGTCGTTTGGTTCCATTGTTAGACTGTAGTATCTGAAACCTGTCTATGATTCGGGAGGTCAGTCGTTAAAGGGGGGGGGACCGACCAAGGCCTTGTCTATATAAAGACTCAAACTCACTGCAGATTTTTTTTTTTACTTTTACAGATTGCCTTTTTGCTTTTGCCACACCTGCAAGGTACACAATTTGCGGGAGTTGAAAAATCTGAACTTTTGTTCACATTTGCATCACAAAATCCAATCACAGTGTAGATGTTAATGTGACCTACAGAGAAGGAGGAAGCGGAGACAAGCATTTTTATATCAAATTTAAGACAGAGAAAATAATGTCGGCAAATGATAGGGATGCTCCTAAGAGGTTTATGTGTGCTTTTAAAAAAAGACATACTGTATTTTAATTTAACCCTAAGACTGTTTCATCATCCTATCTCCATAGCAGAAACTGCCCAACTGCCGGCTCTCCCCCTGCTCTGTTGACCCACTGCCAACTGCAACCTCTCCCTGATATGCCTCCGAGGCGGGCTTCTCTAATGTACCACTGTCCTCCTAAAGGCAGTCGTTGTCTACACTGAACCCGAAACTTGAGAAAATTTCACAGTTTTGCCTGCTTTTGCCCACCTTAAAAGTTTGCCTTGCATGCAAAAGCAAGACGGCAGGCGAATTTGCACGATAAGTTCCTACATCATCACGCCTGCTTGTTCTTGGTTGCAGCCGAACATGGATGACCGGGACTCTCATAGCTTTTTTTGTAGCTGGCTGTTCTCTGCACTGGAGGCAGGACAATTGAGCAGTCCTTCGAGGTTTAAATTGAAATGGTTTCTTTAAAGGCCACCCCCAAACCTCTTAACAGCATTCCCTACTTTATTATTTGTCAACTTCATTTTCTCTGACTTCAGTTTTGATTAAAAACAGCTTGTCCAGAATCCTCTTTCACTGTAGGTCACAGCCACATCTAGTCTTTCATTGGGTTTCATGACACAAACATACACAAAAGTTCAGACTTTTCAATTCCTGTGAATTTCGCTTTGAGTACTTTGCATGCGCAGGAGCCATAAAATGTAAGTAATTTGCCAAAACACGTCATTCTCCACGCTAGATTCACCACCTTCGCTTTGCATTGCTAATGTGTTCAGTTTTACAATAACAGCCATGTTTTCATGTGACTGTTAATCCTGGTTTGGGATTGACTCATGCACATGCAAAATTCTGCTGGTGCAGAGTTTGCAGCATTATATTCTACCTGCGTCTTTTTACCTCTGTACCTAATATTCTACCTTAACTCTGAGGGTGTATGTAGGGCACAGACCTCAAGCATACTGTATTGTTGATATCTGATAGTCACATTTTAGTTCAGGTTTTAGAGCTGATTATATTTTATTTTAGTCTTCTACCTTTAGTCTCCGTAGGTTTTCACTTTGCATGTGATTTAATGAGGAAAGGATGAAGAGGACAATGAAGGCTACTGACTATTAGAGGATCCAAAAGACATATTTGTGTCAGAAGATAATTTATATTTTGGCTTTAGTCGTAACTTGTAGGTTATCAATCTGGTTTACAAAGGACAGAGATGAGTTCAATCGGAAACTTATTTGCTGGTGGTGAAATCCATAGCTGGATAGTGGGATAGTCGGTTGTTAAATTATTCAGCGTAAATAAAATGTATTTGGTTGTTGTAGTATTGAGACAAAGCTGGAGCCTATACAGACATTGGAATAAGCTAAAGGGTAGAGAATTCAGTCTCCAAGGAACAACATTTTAACATGTTATCATCAGCATATACCTGGATTCATGATAGAGCTGGGGATCATAAGAAATTATCTGAGCAGTACTTTAAAAATGTTGAAACATGATGTAAAAAATATCCAATTCATCAGCTTAACTTCTAAATTTATATCAATTTATCTGTACATGTTGTCTACAGAGTTATATACAGCTTTATTATGTTGGAACCAGACAAATATAAAAATCTAATTTTATTGATTTAATTCTTCAAAAGTCCCACAAATTCTTATAGTTCCATTGTATCACTCAGTTTTACTTGTTACACTTCTTTTTAACTGTGGATTAATTAACTGTAAAACCTTACTTGCAGTGATCTGGAAACACATGTTCAAATGACTTCACTAAACAGTAAGACCAAGAACACATTTTACACAGAGCTGGAACACGGAGAAAAGTTTAACAGGTGTATTTGTAGCAATGGGAACAGAGGTTGGATCTGGAACTCAGAGAACTGGTGAACCAGAACCGGAAAGTCTGAAGGGGAGATCACAGAGATCAGTTCGGGGGACCGTGGGAAATGAGACTGCGGCTTGAATTATGCTGGAATGGGACTCACCTTTGAGGAGGCTCTTGTCAATCCTTGAATCCAGTCTGTGTGGGTTTATCCAGAGAAGAGGGAATTCGTTGGAGAGCGGAGACCGGAGGAGTAATGGAGCGGACTGACACTTGGATTTCCGATGGGAA